ATAAGATTTTGTTTGGTTTTTCATGTGAAGAAGGTTTTAACCTAAACCTAATAAATAAATCAAGATTAATCTTAAATCAATTAAGAAAAGAAAAGATTTTTTTAGAAAAGATTTTTTGAATAAACGCTAATTCTATTTGATTAAAAAAGAATAAATTTCTTTAAGAAAAAGTAAGTATTTTTTATATTTTTGTCTTGAAAATAAAATATGGCCCTATGAGATATTTTGGTCTCTTTTTTATAGTAAAATAAATATTTAATGAGTATAAAGAAAAAATAAATATTAAACTACTCCTAATTTAATTTACAAGGTTTATTTAATAAAATAGGTAATATATAACTAAATAAAATATTTTTTGTGAGAAAAAATAAAATAAAATAAGCTAAAATATAAATCTATCATTTTTATATTTTTTATGATTTTTAATATTAAGAAAAATATATTTAATAAAATAAAAATGAAAATAAAATGAATAAAAAATATAATGGGTCAGGGGTGCTGCAAGCAAACAAGAGGCAGAGTTAGAAAAAAAATAAGGCCCAATGAAACAAAAAGCCCAGTGCTGCAAAGTGACAAAAAATGGCAAAAATGTGAGAAAAAATGCAAAAGGCAGGCGCCAAGGCTCGAACCCATGATCTATGGCATTTTTGCGCGCTGCCTTACCACTGGTGTGGCTGTACATCCGTTTATAGAAACACAAAGATGAATATATATTAGAAAACGCCCCCTGGAGGCAACTTCATCTTCAACCTTGAGCCATGGCTGGACCACCTGTATCTCTCTCATTTCTCCATAAAAATAGAAAGTCCAAACATGAAAATTATGGGGTTTCTTCCCACGAGTTCAACCATCTAACTTATGTAAACTAACAATCAAAAATCAAAGCTAATTTTACTTGCCCTAATTTGAAACCTAATTTTTACTGAAATTTCAAAAAAAAAATTCTCTATACACAGTTAAGATAAATGAAAACTATGAACATGGTTAGCTTTAGGGCAAGGATATCTACATTTTTCTTTCACAAATCAGGATCAAAGGATGCTTGTATGAAGAGATAGAAGTTTGAGTTTTTACCTCTTTCAGTTGAGATCGTGAATGGGGTTTGAGCAAGTTTTGAGAAGGCCTGAGGATCTGTTTAGCTTGCTTGGACCTCCCTGAGTGTATTTCAATCCTTACCTTGTCTTGAAAGTCTCTGAATCTCCCTATTAAAGTCAACCTGCAAGCTTGATATTTGAAAATGGTGGATGGAGGAGGAGGAATTATAGTGAGGGAACAGGGGTCTGGATCACCTGGATATGAAGTATACTAAGTGTTCAAGTGGTTAAAACTCAAAACGCACGAGTGGTTTTGGAGATGGCTATGTAAAATGCAAAACTGTCAAGCTATGGCAGATTTTCAATGAAAAAGTGTTTGGGAGTATTTATGAGTCTTAGCATTCGTGCCTTAGATTCCAATACACTTGTGCATTAGTATGGAAGAGGTTAGACCTCAAGCTTTCTCAAGATTTATGAGTTATAACCTTTTGGCTCTATTACTTGTTTTTGAAGAAAAGTGAAGAGACAAGTCCCTAAGTGTTGTACAAGTATGGTCTAGTTTGGTAGAGGTTTCAGGTAAGTTGCTTTTGGTTTTGGCTTTGCTTGTGTGCAGAGAAAACAAGTGCAAGGCTCAAGGAGTAGAAAAATGCAAAAGTTGTGCTTTATCAAAATGGAAATGGCACCTTTATGCCAAAAATGGAATTGTTCTTGTAAAATGCATTCAATGCTTGGCTAAAAGCTTCCAACAACTGTGAAAACATTTAATTATGGAGTGAAAGTCAAGTTAGTAGCCTGTAAAGTAAGATTTGTTCAGCATGCTTGAGGATTTGAATTTTGTTCTTCATGAAATTGCTTGAAATCAAAGTGATAAATCACCAACTTCATCTCTTCGATTCTCCCTACTCAAGAATGATCTCAAGGAGTTCTTGGACATTTTGGAAAGTTTGAAATATGATATACAACCCATATTTGAAATGCTTTTGTAAATTTCCTTTGGAACTATGTGAAAAATTGTCATGAAGTTAGGTCAAAAAACTACCTAACTAGGGCAAAATTTCACTAAGTTATTTTAGTTAATGAGCATGTATTCACAAAATTATATCTTGAGATCCAATCATTTTTAGGAGAAATTGTGTGAATAAAAGTTTTAGATTTCATGGAGATCTACAACTTTCATGTTAGAAGTTTCCTTTGAATCATCTTGCATCATGGTGATAATTTGGCTCAAAGTTGAGAGAAAATAAGAAATTTTCTATACTTAGAAAATTTTCTAAGTTAAAATTTTTCAACTTTTCAAAACCAAATCTTAAGTCCTTGGTTTCTTGATGATTAATTTTCATATTTTGACATGTTTTGATGAATTATGATCTTTGGCACTTGATTTTGACCAAAAAGTTAAAGTTTGACTTTTCAGTATACAATTGACTTTTGATCAGTTGACTGGAAAATTCATCTATCAATCCAATGGATTTGCAATGTTTTGAACCATGTCATTAGTTCAAGATGATGCAATTGAACTCTTGAGATCATGCTTTAAACCAATTGACCATTTGCTAGGTCAAAAATCAGAAATTACCCTTTCTCAGTCAAAACCCTAATTTTGACCATTTTGCCCTTTTGATGATTTGATCAAATTTCTTGAGGAATTGTGGTCCAAAATTGATCAAATGATACATATGAGTCTAAGATGTTGATGTGGATAAAAAATTATGAAGTTTGACAGTAAATTGGCCATGGTTGACTTTTTCCCCAATACAGTTGATTTTTAGGTCAACTGTCCAATTGACTGATCAAAAATGTGATTCAAGGCTTGAAACTTGGCATGAGTAATCTTGGGGGTCCCTAATGATCTTTGAAAGTCATATGAAGCATTGATAGTCCAAAAATCCTTGTGCAAACTCAAACCCTAATTTTGGTCATTAGTGCATGAGGAGATGTCTTGAGCTGGTCAAACCCTAATCCAGTCTTGAGTCAAAAAGATATTGTGAGGAAATTCTTGATAAGTGAGAGGGTAAATTTTGGGGTACAACAATATGTATTGTTTCCTTTTTCAATTTCTTACAATTCACCACTTTCTTTATGTGCTACAATATTCAAACAAATGACTTGTATTGTGAAACAACAATATTGCTTGCAATTTACAATATATTTAGAAATAAATTTTTCAATATTGTCAACCAAGGAAAGCAATAAATTATTTAATGTTTTCTTTGATTGACAACATACGAAGGTTATTCTAAAATATAACAATAGTCTTGCAAGAGGTGGAAACAACCACAACACTATTGTAAGAGCGGGGGGAAAATATTTTGTTCAAGGGTTGGTGTTAGAAGAACAATATACAAAACATAACCTTGAAGATTTTTTCTCTTGCAATCCATCCCAAAGAATTAAGAGTATGAGTTTGGAGCGGCTATATACGAGTTAGGTTTAAGGTAAAACTTAATTAACGAATACTTTTATAGTAAAATCTGATTATCTAACCCCTCAGTTATTAAAGAAACCAAAAGAACGAATCATTTAATTTACAAATAAAAAATATAATAAAAATAAATGCACCACTTTTAAAAAAATAAAAACATAAACTGCATTTGTTGGGATTCAAAATATACTTTGAATTGATTTTCTCTTTGGTTATAATAAAAAATCGAGGAAATAGATGGTATTTTTTAAAAAATAAAATAAAATATGACGCATCTTGAAATTATATCTCGTTTTTTATTAGATAAGGTAAAAACTTTGTCATGAAATGTATTATTTGTAATAGTGATGGTTGAAAGGAAATATTGATGCATGTCTCGTTAAAGAAGAAATACGGGGGATCAGAGTTATTATGCAAAACTCTGAATAAGCATGGAAACAAAACTCATACCTGCGGGTACCCACTCAAATTCGCCTCGAAGTTGGCAGAGAAAACCCACTTTGACTGGGTTTGGGTTCGGGTTTGAGTTTTCTCCGATTATAAAATATGGGGACGAGTCGGGTAATGAGGACACTAGTACCCACCCCGAATTCGCACCGTTTATTTTATTATGTACATTATTATTTATTTTTGATAATTTAGAATATTAAATATGTGGTCAATATTTTGATTATTTAATTTATATTTATTATTTGAAATGTATGTATGAAATTTTTCGAGATTGTTTTATTTTATTATTTATAACGTAATTTGATTTAAGAAAAAATAAATATTCCTATTAAAAAAAGATTTTCTTAAATGGATGGTGGTGGGGTGGGAATATCGAATTTGACCCTAACTCGTTTGGGATGAGTTTGCGTTTTAATTCTCCATCTTCGTTTGAGTTTGAGACGGATAATAGAGATTGTTTGAGGATTCAGGTTTGAGTTTGGAGACGTAAAAACCATCTCTGACCTGTCGTTACCGCACCTAACTCTGAAGGCCAAATCATCGTGCAAAGCTCTAGTAGGATCCAAGATAGCAATTATTCGTTAGTGACAGAAGTGTGACTCTAAAAGTGACTATGTAAATCGCAACTCATTGCAAGCTCGAAAAGATGAAGCTTGAATCAAATAATAGTACTTTTCAGAAAATGATGAACTATAATCAAACCATCACTCAAAACTACACATATATGTATCTTTTTATAGAGCCATGAAAAAAAGATAAAAAAACCAATTTTAAAAAATTGAGTTCATTCATACGAATAAAAAGAATAACACAACAACTCATAGTTTAGCTGGGGTTTAACCTTTTTTCTATTAAAAGAAAAGTTTGTTTTAAAAAAACATTCAATAAATGATTTAAAATTAAATACTTTTAATCATTTAACAGTTATAATTATTTTTAACAAAAATAATATTCAAATTTAAATTTGAGTATTTTTTCTCCTATAAATATATGGGAATAAACAAGAATCAAGAAGAAAAAGAAGAAAAAAAATTTCCCTCCTCCACCTTCTTTTACACTCCGCTCTTTTCATCGACGGCGTTCAACAAACCACCATGGTAACTACTTCAAACGCTTTACCTAGATCTTCTTATTCTCTCTTCCCTTATTTTCTTCAACAAAAAAAACCATAATTTCTTTAGCGGAAAACCTAGCTGCACTCAAATTCCCTAACTGATCATAGGTTGTCGTGTCTGTAACCTAACATGTTTTTTTGTCAAAATTGAAGCATTAGGGTTAATGTTAATGTCACTGTCACTGTTAGTTATTGTTATGAACTTATGATTGCAGTTATGTTCATTTTTCACCCTTTTTCATTCTTGCAGCTTCCTCTTTCCCTTCTTAAGACTGCACAAGGCCACCCTATGGTAAGTAGCTAACACCTTTGTGATGTTTCTGTTTGATTTCTAGTTTCTGATTTTGATGTTTTGTTGTTGTTTTTTTTTGAACTTGTTGTAACAGTTGGTGGAGCTGAAAAATGGTGAGACTTATAATGGACATTTGGTTAATTGTGATACATGGATGAATATTCATCTCCGAGAAGTTATTTGTACCTCTAAAGTAATGTTCTTTTTCAGAACCCTTTGTTGTGTTTGTGATTATTGAAAGGTTTGTTGAATTTTTTTATTGAAATTGGTGATGTAGGATGGAGATAGATTTTGGAGGATGCCTGAATGCTACATACGGGGAAATACGATTAAGTATCTTCGAGTTCCCGATGAGGTATGTAGTGGTGTGATCGGTAAGCTTTTAGTTATTTAAAGAGAGATTGAGGGCTATGTACTATCAGCGTAAATCAGCTTTACACTGACATCTAATGAGAAATCGTTAGTTTGTTTGCTACTTCATATGATTAGTTTTAAGAGTCAGTTGCGAAAGTAGATTGATATGTAGAATAGTGGACTCTTATTGGATGCATTTGTGATGTTAGTTTACACTGACAGTATGCTCCCTTTAAACTCATTTTAAAAAACATTGGTGAATAGGTTGTTAAGAAGGTGAGCCTTGGCAAAATAGTAGAGTTTCTACCTTTGTGATTGATTGGTCATGGGTTCAGTTGGGAAAAGCCTTAGCCTTAAGGCTGTGCTCATCAGTTAATACCACTATGTCTGAGTTTTACATACTTTTGTCAACTAACTTTTGTTTTATTGCTTTTTGATTTAGGTTATTGACAAAGTTCAGGAAGAAACCAAGAGCCGAACAGGTATGAAGTACTGTTTTGATATCTAGTTTGTTTCCAGAGTTCAAATATGTCACATGGGTGTGAGTGAGTGATAAATCGTACGTTGACTAGGAATGGGCTTGTTGAGGAGGATATAAAGTGGAAGGACCTATGAATCAAGCCTTGAGTTGACACTTGACATACAGTGTCTGATCCGCCAAAACAACATATCTTTAGTGTTTTGGATCTAGCAGTTAGTCTTTATCTTCATATATAAATTGATTAGGTGGTTTACAGGGGAAAAAAGAATGTTGGTATTTGGTACGCTTGTTATGATAAAGATGCATATAATTTTATTCTGACATTTTTGAAGTTACATCTTATTTGAAATGCCATTCACGCAGTCTTCCAGTTATATAAAAAATAAAGTTATCTAATCAATGTCACCCTTTTTAGACCGCAAGCCGCCTGGTGTTGGACGTGGTAGGGGAAGAGGTAGGGAGGATGGTGCTGGTGCTGGTGGACGCCAAACAAAAAGCATTGGGCGTGGTTTTGATGATGGTGGTGCTAGAGGAGCCGGAGGCCGAGGCAGGGGTGGCCCAAGTGGAAAGCCTGGAGGAAGCAGAGGTAAATCACAAATGCACTCGTTGTATCTTTTACCACCTCTATATGTGCTCTCTTTCTTAAATATCAACCTTTAGTCATGTTTATTACACTAGATTTATGATTCTTATCAAATAAGGAAACAAATTACCAAATATAAAAAAATAATACAGAATCTAATTTTAAGAAATCATTTAAGACACTTGGAAAATATGCTTATCATATATACTAATACCTCAAAGTCACCATATCAGATTTTGATGAGGTTCCTACATTATCTTTTATTTTCATCTGGGTTAGACGAGTTCTTGATAAATAAGTAAATTATACAGCTTAAAAGCTTATTGTTATTGAAAAACTGCTGTACTAATATTACAATTTGTTGGTTCTAATGTTAGACTTTATTGTTGGAGAATTTCCTAATTGTGGCTTGAAATACATATACATTTGCTTCTTTGGTAGGTGCTGGACGAGGTAGAGGTTGATCTAAGCAAGTGATATGAAGTGTGAACTACTTCCAATGGGCAAGCTTGCTTCTGCTGGAGGCATCTGTGCTTGTCTTTACGCGTACCAGCAGCAGATTTTACTGTCTGTGTTTCTTGTGCATCCTTGGATTTTAGCTTTCCCTACCTTTCCTGTATTTGTAGTCTAAAAATGTTAATGCTTATCATATAGTATATTATTATTTGCGAAAGGATTCTATCATTGCGTCAATTTCTAATATCATCCCAATGGCACTATTTTTTTCCTTCATCGTAGTGAAAAGAACGCCCAACCTTTCTAATATCATACATTTTCCAGTCTGCATGTTCCGCTACTTATAGAGCAAAAGACAACTGCACTTGGGAAAAATAACTCTTCACCAAGAATCCCAACAATGTATGAAATTTTTTTAATGAAAAAATACACGTTTATTCACTCACTATCATATCTTAAAATGTAAAACAACTCACCCATAATCATAACCTTAAAGACACAACCACTCAAAAACAAAAACATGAAAACTTAAAACAGCATATAGCAAGCATTTAAGACTCATAGTTTCCTTATTGAGGGTGCCCTTCGCAAGCATTCAAGACTCATAGTTTCCTTGTTTGGGGTGCCCCTCAAAGTGTATCATATAATTCTATTACTTGAAAATCATTTAGAAACTACTCATATGTTTAATTGCTGAGAAAGAGGAAAATCAAATGAACTGAATTTTCTATACTAAAATAAGATAAATTCAAAATTCAAAGAGATTAGAAGTCCAAATATGATTCTGCATGAGTGATATTGGTGCGATGCAATCAACCTCTTGGGAGAAATTATCATGTTTTTTTTATATAAAATATGAATCACTATATTACATTATAAATATGAGGGGTAATGTAGAACGCCCCATTACAAATATTACACGACATAAAAATACATATTTTTCAAATCGAAATCAATCACATGCTTAGATCAACGCACCGAGTTCAGTGAAAGAGAAGAAAAAAACTAACTAAATGAACAAAAAGAACGCTTCATTGGCATCAAACTGTTTAATTAATGGTAATTGGGCTACTGGTATTAGTAGGGTTGATGACGATTTTTCTTGCAAGTTCTTTCTGGTTTCATAACCAATGTACTTGAAATCCAAGATTGATTTTTTTGAGGGGAATCATCGGACAACCAACAGCATAGCCTTCCATCTTCCCCACCCGTCCATCCAAAAATGCCTGAGCTATGACGACTACTACTACTACTACCAAGTTCACTATGAATTCTGGACATGGGTAGAACACTTCTAACAACACTTGTATGGCCACCTTCAAGAATTGCTTCTGCAGCTCCAATTGTTGCCGTTCCACTGTAATTTACAGGAAAATAACCTAATGTACCCGCATTTGTGCCACCAATCAACCATAGTTTTTCAGCTTCTTTCGAGTAGTGACAGTCAACAAAATAGTCAACCTGCCAAAATAAAGAGAATATCAGTTTGTGGAGTGTAGATTGGAGTGACAGTAATATAATATTTATATACTGGAGCAGTATACAAGTTTTGCTCCACGAAGCTATTGCAACTGAATATGGAAGATTGTCTATTAAGCTTGCACCATCAATGCCATGTATTTATATCAACATTATGATATAAATACAAGGTTTATCCTCAAAACAAATAAGCATATTCAGTCAAACAAGAAGATAGGAACTCACATGATCCAAATTCCAACTTTCAGAAGCTAAAGTACGAGCTTCTGAGAAGTTTACTTCATTTCTACCATCTTTCCAATCCCAGATACTACATAGAAGAGTATCACAAATCAATGAAATATAAGAATCAAAGATTGCAAAAAAGAAGTATAAATCTGCACATGCAAATCCATATAGCCCACATCGCAATAGAGTCTAATTTTTAAGCAGAAAGTACTATTTACTGAGATGATATTAATATGTATAATAGCTGTTTTTCATTAGAAACTATGATGACATTAAATGCATGACAAAGCACAGCAACATAATTATGTGGCAAAATGAATGAACTAAATCTAACTGTTATTGAAAGAAAAACCAGTAATGGAGATAAACTGTACCTTGCGGTTTCAATATGTGTTAAACACCAAAGCTTTTGATAACTCTCTCCAAAAAAACCCACCTTGGCAATTGAAGTTCCCACATTAATCACCTACATTAGTATGAGAAACTTTCATCAGTTCAAAAATACTGAAACTATGGTTATTAATATCAACTTCAATGTTAATTGGCATATTATGGATGTGGAAGCAAACTATACAATCCTATTCTAATGATTACTTATCTGATTTTAATATACTTGGTCATTCAAAAAGGTAGTAAATTGCAAGAATTATCGTTAGAAGGAAATTGAATGAGTCCCAAACATACTGAATCTAGATGATCATCATCATTGATATCTCCGCTGGTATCAAATATGCAGATCAACCCATCTACTGAAGCCGAAATGAGCTTGCCTGGTTCATCAGGGACAAAATGAACCTATAATCAATAACACATTTTCAACAAATTAACCATGAATTCATGCACCACATTCAATAATCAAATATGAAAAAAATGAAAACCATTGTTTTGCAAAAGAACCAGAGCTCGTCTAAGAACTCCCTAAAGCTTTATTTTGGATAATTAAAATGACTCCCGTGGATATCTTCATATTATGTACATATACCAGGTAACAAATATTTTCATCTTACCCAAATATCCTAGATTTGGTATTCTCGTGACATACATAGTTTTCTAGGAGGGCATCACGAAACAAAACATCTTTTAACCAGTTACAATTCCATCAAATCAAGTTTTCGATTAAGATACAAATTTCCATCACAAGTAATTCAAACAAAACAAACCTGAGTTACATCATCCATATGAGAATCTTCTAGACAAGCAATTTGCTTGTTATTTCTCCAATCCCATAACAGTACCTGAGTATAATTAAACAGTATGGTAATAAAACTTGCGTACCAGTTTAACTTTAAATTATTTCACACAGTATCAATCACCAAGGTTACAGAAACTAAATGCAAACCTGCGAATCACAACCGGCAGCAACTAAACTTCCATTAGGCCCTCCAGTAGAGAAACTAAAGACTTCTTGAGAAGGACCGGCATTGAGAACAGAAACCTAAAGTTTTAACATTTCATTCACAACTCAAGCAATCAAAATCACCAGTCTATTTGGATTGACTTATTTAAGCTTATCTACTAGCATATAATCTTTTGAGACTAAGCTTATGACATATCCATAAGTTGTTGACACCATATTTTCATAAGTTATCAATCATAGCTTATGAAAAAACAGCTTATAGATTATAATTTATACACAACAAATAAAATAAACCTGCTGAAATGATCTTGTGTCCCAAGCTCGGATAGTGCCATCTGAAGAACACGAGCTAAGAACATGAGGATTCGAAGGACCCGAAAACAAAATCTGGTTGATAGTTCCAGAGTGACCCTTGCACTCCCCATAATACTGACCCACCACTGGTGAATACAGTTTCACCGCATTCGTTGACAGTGAAACCGCCATTGCACTCCAATCATCCCTTTCCATTAAAAAAAAGAACCAAAAATTAGAACCCAATTTAAAAAGTAACGTTTTTTCAATTTTTCATCGAGTTTTGGAGTGAAAAGAGCTTACTTTGGGATTATTTGGAAAACATAGTCGTCGCCGAAATTGGTTTGAATGGAATTTTTTAGACCGAAGTGTTTAACGTTGTTGGGTGTTGGCGAAGGTTGTTGTTCCTCGACATCCATCGATGTAGTTGTTTCCATCTTTTGTTGTTGTTTCTGTAGGGTGCAATTGCAGAGAGGAAGAAGAGGGGCATTGTGTTCTCAATATCGATGAGGGTTTTAGGGCTTTGATCAGCTACAACGCGGTACACCTCTGTTACAACTAAAGCCCAATCACTTCCCTTCATTTTTCTTCTTATTTATTTTATTAATAAAATAAATCATTAAGTTTTTTTTTTTTAGAATTTTAATTCTGTAATTTTTAATAACATCATCTTCATATTAACGACGCATCAGATTTTAATAATAAACTATTAAAACATTTATTTTTATTTAAGATTTATATTAAATATATTATTAATATGAATTTCATGTTATTAAAAATTGTCTTCAAATTTATAGAGATTAAAATTCTCAAAAAATTAAAATAAATAAACTAAAAAAAATAGAAAATCAAAATTATAATTAAATTTAAAATAGATAATAAATATATTAAAATAATATAATTATCAAAACATAAAATATGAATATTAATTAATAACATTATTTTATAAAAATTTGTGAGATTAAAAAAAATAGAATTTGTGAAATAGTGATCAAAAGACATACAATATTAAAATGAAGAGACTAAAACAAACAAAAAATTAAAAAAAAGAAGTTAAAAGTGAATTTAAATCTTATTTGTTAAACGATTAAATAGGAGTAGTAATATATTATATATTTTTAGTGAAAAAGATTTAAAATTAAATTCATAATTTTTTTAATTATTAAATTCATATATAATCTACAAAACACGAAATACTAGATATGAACGATTATTCTTCATAAATTTTATTTAAAAAGCATAGATGAATATTGTTAGATCTATTTTATTTTTTATTAATTTTTTTTTACGTAATGTCAAGTGAATAATGTCAAATTTATTTTGCTCGAGTTATTTTTTTATGCAAGGGCGAGTCAACACTAATAGATCTAAATTAGTTTATTATGTTTTCTATATAAAAGATAAGTGAATAGTATATGAACTATTTTGATACCAACATGTATAGAACAATCACCCTAACCCCAACCTAAACATATAATTGGCCTAAATCAAACACAAGACTACCTTCATTTGCTACATATAGCGATCCCCAAACATTGATGTTATGGGTATTAGATTTAATCTAATATTTTAGGAATATTTTTTAAAAGATATTATTATATCTTTTTATATTTTTGTTAGAGGATATTTAAAATTTTATTTTGTGTATAAATAGCCTAGTGAAGTAGTTCAATATAATTCATTGTAAATCATTATTCTTTGTTTTTGTAGCCGTCATTTAATATATTCTTTTTCTCTTTCATCTTTTCTTGTGCATCAATAATTGGTATCTATAGCTCCGGTTCGAAATCCACGGGAAAACGGGAAACATGAGAGAACAGTGAGGTGTTGTGTGATAATCGTTGTTTCTGATTCTGGGGATTTGGGAAACACTGCTTTATTGAATTTCTGCGTAAATTGCACAAGGTAGAAGAGAACGGAAACGACGACGATATCCATTCCAAGCTTCCAGTATTTGATGACAAAAACTGGAATCGTTGGAATATCCAAATGCGCGTGTTATTTGGTTCTCAAGATTATTAGATCTTGTCACCGATGGCTATGATCTGTTAGAAGCAGACGCAACAGAGGCACAGAAGATACACACAGAGGGCGCTAAGGAAGAAAGATTAGAAGACGTTGTTCTACATCCATCAATGTGTGGATATGAACGTGTTTGAGAAGATTGATGACTCTAAAACAACAAAGGCTGCGTGGGACACACTGGTCAGGTGTTACGATGGTGACGCATCAGTGAAGAAGGTGAAGCTTCAGTCTCTCAGAAAGCAATATGAGAATCTCAACATGAAGGACAACGAGAAGGTTTATGAATACATCTCTAGAGTGATTCTGATCACTAATGAGATGAAAGCTTGTGGAGAAACTCTTTTTGAGCAAATAATCATTGAAAAGATCTTGAGATCTTTAACTTTTCAGTTTGATTATATTGTGGTAGCAAATGAACATTCCAAAGATCTAAGCACCATGAGATTTGAAGAGCTGCAAAGTAGTCTAGAGGCGCATGAGTTACGTATGACTGCGAGAACTTCTGAGAGGGAAGTAGAGCAGCAGGCTCTGAAAGTAACTTCTAGTAAGAAGTATCAGAAGCAAACTTGGTCAGAAGCCAGGAAGAAAACTAAGGGTGGTCAAAGGTCAGAAGCTTCAAACTCTGATAGGCAGAAGAATGTCCAGAAGGGAAAGGAGAAGTTTGACAAGAAGAATGTTCAGTATTACTGTTGCAAGAACTTTAGTCATTATGTCAAAGATTGTTGGTCAAACAAAGAAAGGAAGTTAGAAGAAGCAAATATAGCCAGAGGAGAGTCAGATGATGAACCTATGCTATTGTTGGCTTCTGAATCTGATGATCTGAATTCATCAAAATGGTGGTATATGGACACAGGGTGTTCAAACCATCTTACTGGAAACAAGAAATGGTTGGTTAATTTTGACTCTGGGAAAAGTACAAAGATCAGATGTGCTGATGATAAATATCTCAATGTAGAAGGTATGGGAAATTTCAAAATCATTCTAACAATGGGAAAACATTAGTGATCCAGAATGTATGGTATGTACCTGGTATGAAAAACAATATGGTGAGTGTGGGACAACTGGTTGAGAAAGGTTTTTCAGTTACCATGAAGGACAACCTTCTGAAGTTGTATGACTGTAATCAGAAGTTGATTATGGAGTCAGAATAGGGAAGAAACAGAACATTCAAGGTGAATGTTAGAACTGCAGATTTTGAATGTCTTAGTGCAACAAGTGTTGTCAAGGAGAGTGAGTTGTGGCATAGAAGATTGGGTCATCTAAATTTCAGAAGTTTAGGGCATCTGAAATCAAAGAATCTGGTACATGGAATTCCTACAATCAAGAAGCCTGAAAAGTCATGCAAGGTGTGCATGGAAGGGAAGCAACCAAGATTACCATTTGCATCAGAAGTAGCTCCAAGAGCAAAACATGCTTTGGGAGTAGTGCATTCTGATGTGTGCGGTCCTTTTCCAGTACCATCAACTGGAGGGAATAAATATTTTATGTCATTTGTTAATGAGTTCACCAAAATGACATGGGTATCTCTCATAAAGTTCAAACACGAAGTATTTGCTGAATTCAAGAAGTTCTGACTGAAGGCTGAGAATCAGAGTGGCCAGACTCTAAAGATTCTTAAAACTGATGGTGATGGTGAGTATAACTCCACAAAATTCAGAAGATTTTGTGAGGAGAATGGAATTGAGAACGAGGCTACTGCTCCCTATACTCATTAACACAGTGGTCTTGCTGAAAGAAGAAACTGTGCTTTGCTTGATATGGTGAGAAGCATGCTGAAAGAGAAGAATCTTCCTCATACTCTGTGGGGAGAAGCTGTTGCAACTGCATGTTATGTGCTCAACATATGTCCAACAAAGAAATTAAAGGAAATAGTTCCTATTCAGAAGTGGAATGGAGATAAGCAAAGTGTTAGTCATCTGAAGGTGTTTGGTTCTGCATGTAACAAACATGTCCCAGAAGCCAGAAGACAAAAGCTGGATGATAGAAGTAAAGTAATGTTGCTGGTGGGGTACCACAGTACAGGTTTATACAAACTCTATTGTCCAGAAACTAACAAAGTTGAGTTCAGCAGAGACGTCATTGTAAAGGAAACAAAAGTTTGGAATTGGGAAAGGTCTCGTCCTGACTTTGATGAGAGAACTCCTGAAGAAAAGTCAGAAACACATGTTTCTGAAGCTGGTAAAGACTCTGACTCTGAAGAAGATACAGAAGGAGAAGATGATTCAGACTCTGACTCCGATGGTGATCCAGACTCTGAAGATAGTTAAGGTTCTGGAGAAACTCCAATTTCTGAAGAAAGTGCTTCTAAATGGAAAAGTTCTGGTGTCCAAAGTTCTGAAGGTCTAGTTCAGAGGCAACAAAGAGTCAGAAGTATCCCAAGAAGATTTATAGAGTTTGACATGTTGCGAGACACTGAAGTAGACTCTGAAGGAGAAGTTATTCAGTGTACAATGTTAGTAGACACTGAATCCGTAAGTACAGAAGAGGCTCTTAAGCAGAAAGTTTGGTTACAGACCATGAAATAAGAACTTGATGCTATAGAGATAAATAAGACTTGGAAGCTGACAAAACTTCCAAAAGGCAAGAAAGCCATCAACGTCAGATGGGTTTTCAAACATAAGCTAAAGCCATATGGATCAATTGGCAAACACAAAGCAATATTAGTAGCAAGAGGCTTTTTACAGAAGCCTGGGCTGGATTACTCTGAAGTGTTTGCACCTGTAGCGAGACATGAAACAATCAGACTATTGATTGCAATAGCCGCTAACAGGAATTGGCCTCTGATGCATTTAGATGTAAAATCTGCATTTCTGAATGGTCCATTACAAGAAGAGGTATATGTATCACAACCTCCTGGATTTAAGAAAAAGAATCAGGAAGGGATGAAGTTCAAATTACACAAAGCCTTGTATGGATTGAAGCAAGCACCCAGAGCTTGGAATTTGAAGATTGATTCATTTTTCAAGGAACAAGGGTTTCAGAAGTGTGAGATGGATTATAGTGTTTATGTTCAGCACATTTTAGAAGGTAATATGATTCTGGTCTGTTTGTATGTTGATGACATATTACTCACAGGAAGTTCTGAACAAGAGATAGTTGAGTTCAAGAAAGTTCTGATGAATGCATTTGAGATGACCGATCTTGGGAAAATGAGTTTCTTTCTAGGGATGGAATTTATGTACTCTTAGAAAGGATTCATTTTGCATAAGATGAAGTATGAACTAGAGATTCTGAAGAGATTTAAGATAGAGAATTGAAAAGTTGCTATCACACCTGTTGATATGAATCAGAAGTTAGACTCTGATTCTGATGGAGAGGATGTGGATGCTACAACATTCAAACAGTTGGTTGGTTCTCTAAGGTATTTGTGTAATACCAGGCCTGATATTTGCTATGCAGTTGGAATAGCTAG